TTGAAGAATGGGTAAAAATTGCTGCGCAACAGCAGCTGATAAAGAAGAGTAAGAATATGTGAGAGAAACAACTCTGCAGACACCAAGGTCAGTGGAGAAGGAGGGGAGGAGGTGCTCCAGGCCCCGGAGCAGAGATTCCCCTGCAGCCTGTGGTGAAGACCATGGTGAGGCAGGCTGTCCCCCTGCAGCCCATGGAGGTTAACAGTGGAGCAGATATCCACCTGCAGCCCGTGGAGGAACCCATGCTGGAGTAGGTGGACACCCAAAGGAGGCTGTGACCCCGTGGAGAGCCTGTGCTGGAGCAGGCTCCTGGCAGGACCTGTGGACCCATGGAGAGAGGAGCCCACGGTGCAGCAGGTTTGCTTGCAGGACTTGTGACCCCGTGGGGGACCCACGCTGGAGCAGTCTGTTCCTGAAGAACTGCACCCCATGGAAGGGACCCACGCTGGAGCAGTTCGTGAAGAACTGCAGCCCGTGGGAAGGACTCACGTTGGAGGAACTGTCTCCCGTGGGAGGGACCCCACACTGGAGCAGGGGAAGAGTGTGAGGAGTCCTCCCCCTGACGAGGAAGGAGTGGCAGAGACAACGTGTGATGAACTGACCGCAACCCCCATTCCCCATTGGAGAACAAGACATTGCTTGTGATTGCCTTGTTTTCCAGATAAGGAGAATATTTTAGGCTCCAGATCTGTCCATAATGATGCAGTTTCAAAAGCAATACACACATTTAAAAAAAAAAAAGAGAGAGAAGCACAGTCATAGGTGTTCTTGGCTTCATTACATTCCTGTGTTTGTTCATCTCCATTTCAACTGTAAAGGGGCAAGGGAGTTGATTGAGGAAGGATAACAAGCCAGATCAGAGAAGCATATTTGGAAGTCTAAAAAACCCAAGTAACTTGGCAAATATTTGTTTCCTAATGTAACTCACCACTGAAAGCAGACACAGCAAAATACTGTGGGGAAGTCCTGAATCAAAATTCAGGAACTAATCTACAATCTGTTAAATGTTGCATCCTATTTCTAACATAGGATACACTAAGCATCTAATATTTGCAGGCACAAACAAAAAACTGGTGTAACAGACCATTATTAAAAGCATAAACGTCAAAGTAATTAATAACCATTAGCATTAACTGCTGCATGATATGAATATTTTTGAATGTATTTCAGATACATATAATCTCAAAAATAGATCTACAGTATGACAAAGTTACGATGAATACTACATGTTCATTAGGAGAAAAAAAAAAGCAATCTTCCTTACCTGCTATTGCTTCAAGACTAGGGATTGCAATAGTGCTGTAAGTGCTAATACATTTACAGGACCATGTGCGAACTAAGGTTTCCTCTGCATTTTCCAGGCCCGGCAATCTGTCCATGAAGAAAGAGCCCCACTGTTCAGACACAAAGTAAGGAGCTTTGGGCTGATCTCCCTGAAAGAAAAAGAAATAAAGATGTAATCTTAAAAAAAAAAGAGAAAACTTCTTTCTGTATCCAACCACAAGCATTGGCTTAAGGAACCCTAGTGTTTCTCTGATTTTCTGGGAAAACTGTATTGTATCTCGGGAGCAATGTGACTTTAAAATATTATAAAGAAAAACAATAACAATCTTCCTCCCATAAGTCCCCAAGCTCCTGTTTATGCAATTTATGGATTCCCTAGGACATAAAAAGTTGGCTTTAAATATTTTTCCCTTAAAAAATCTTCTCTTTTCCCCATTTTTCTGTTTTTGATAGAGTGAATAGCCTGCTGTCTTTCTCTGCTGGAGAAGCGGGGTAGCTGTGGCACAGACCATAACCCAGCCTGGAACTCCTCCTGGGAGAAAGGAGTCTCCCGGTGCTGGATGGAGTAACTGCAAAGGATGCATCATGCCACCTGTGTCATGTTATCTGTTTCTGAGCTGAGGAATGAGTGAGAACCGAGCCGCAGGATCCATGGAGAGCCATTCAGTTGCCTAGCAAATTGTGAAAAATTTTTTTTTTTTCACGTATATTTTCAGACAACAACATGTAGACTCATTATGTTTTAAAGAAAGCATTAAAGCAGCATTGGGAAAACTGATTTTTTTAGCAGTTCATCTTGAAACCTGCTATGTATTGCCATAAGCAGCCAGAAAAAACTCCAGGAGGCCTCTACAGCAAGATGAAAAAATGGAAAACAAAACTGTGAACTACATTATAGAAAATCTGTTAAAGTCATTTGTGTGCAAAGTATCTTTTCAGACCAGCAAAGCATAGAATAACAGGTATCCTAGCGTGTGCCTCCAGATTCATGAACTTTTGTACTTTACTTTCCATTTAACCTCTTTCTTAATATTTTTGAGAATCTGCTGGAATAATTTGTGTTTATGACAGAGGTCCGTGGCTTTTGATCACACGAAAGCTGTTGATCCAGCCGAACAGACCATGCCAGTAAACACAGAGCCATTCTTTTTGTGATTCTGCGTAACAGTTTTTTCTCTGAGCATAGCTGGGGGTGGGGAGGAAGTATCGATTTGGACAAATATAGATATTGGTTTCCGTCTTCTGATGTAAATAGGTTGGAAAAACCCCCTGTATCTTTTGTTTCAAAACAAGCAGTTAACTTAAGAATTGGGCTCTTTTCTGTTGTTTTTTGCCTCACACACAGGGACAGCATCTTACATTCTTTTTTGTCAAATCTCATCTTTCCATGCAAATCCCAGGACTTTACATCAGTTATAATTAAATGTAGATGCTACGCTGAATTAAAATCTGTTTGCCAGCTGGATGACACATGCAGAAAACTCTTAAGGCCGTTACAGCTGTTCAGGTGATTAATCAAAACAACCACCCCAGTACTGGCCCACGTAAGCATTTGCACAAAAGACAGGTCCTTGTTTATTGACAAGAGAAAAAATCTGAGGCTTCTGCTTTTTGAAATGTATGATTGGTTCAAATAGGCAATTAAAATTGCAGTCTGAGGAAATGAATTGATTTTTTTCAGAAGTCTGATTCTCAGAGTGGGAATTTCTTCCTTATAAAGGAGGAGGGAGTTACATTTTGGATTTACCAAGCCCGTAGCAAAACCAAACCCAGTTAGATATGAGACTTGTCATCAAGTGACCTGGTAGAGAACTCCTGTCATTTTGCTACTGGCTTATCTCCACACGACAGGGGCGGTTTGGTAGGCTAAATCTCGATCTCAAATCTGAAAAGAGCTGTCAAAACTTTGCCCACATCCTTAGGAAGCATCAGACATCGCTCCCCCCCGCTAACTGATGCCTAGAAGATGTCCGTATCTCATCTGCAGCATACACAGCCTGCAATGAAGGACAGACCACGTACCATGAATCTATACATCTGCGAAATGAGGCAAAAGTCCCCTGTTAACATTGCTACTCCTCACACGCCTGGAGGCACATGTTCAGCAGTGGGGCCGAGGAGCTCTGGAAGGTGCACCAGCCACTCCGGTAGTCCCCAGACACGGGGTTTGCTCTCGCAGCAGGACAGTAGATCCTGGGAAGTGCTGAGCAATCCCTCTTTCTTATGCAAAACCCCCTAGCATGTGGTTTTGCTCTCAGGCACGTTGGTCAGACAGTAGCAGGTCAGACGTTGATTGTGTCAGTTGAGGGTACAAAACCTCAAAGACTACATACATCTAGACTTCAGAGAAATAACGATGGTACCAGCATTCCCCAAGTCCCAGGGCTTTACACTAAGTTAAACCACCTGGAATACTTACTATCACCTTTGCTTTATTAACTGCAGACAAATAGGGCCTGTTAACAGAGCAGACAGAATCTGTTAATAGGACCCTTGGGTAACACTGATTTGTCAGCTTACAAATGACCTTTCTAAAATACAAATAGGCAGGGAGCTGAGCTCTGAAGTTTTTCTACATTTGGTAAAGATATGAAAGAAAGAAGGATGTAAAGGAGAGAGGAGTGAAAAATCAAGCTGTCAGTATTTTTTAAAGGCATTGTTTAGATGGAGATTTGCCATCTATGCCATCGTCTTTGTACCAAGCACAGAGCACTAGGATTACTTTACTGCATCCAATATGACGGATGGCACTGATAGCTGTATGCTTTGTGCCAAGGTAGTAACACCACCACTGGCTCTTAGTGCCAGCAAAAATCAATGCTGAAAATACGGTTTTGCTGGTATAATGGCAAGTATTCGAGGTGTTTCCGCCAGCACAGCTGTGCTGGTCACAACAACCAGATGTCCCTGAGTAACACACCCATGCTGGGTGTGCAAATGGGCAAGCCTGCCACTGGTCTAACTTGGGGCACAGAACCTGCCCCCCACAAGTCATGTGCAAATATAAAAGATTTCACCCATGATCATTGTACCTAAACTACAACATGGATCACTATAAGCAGACTTTAAAATAAAATGCATTTCACTTCAGGATATAGCTTTAAGGATATTGCTTTAACTCGCCAAGCTTCACAACAGCCCATCAGGTTGTTCCTGAAAGTACTGTTAGATTTGTGTTAAAGATAAACAGGAATAAAGAGACAAACAGAGCCAAAAGGCACAGAGTAATTAGCCTTGTCTATGGTGATGGCAAGGGAGTTCTGGAAATTCGGGGGGTTAAGGGCCCTGACCCTCCACTAGGCAATACTGTAAAAATTAGTTTTTCCTTCTAACTGCAAAAATATCATCTCTATCCGCCAATAAATTCTTCGATTTCTGCTCCATTCATTCCTATAGGCCAAGGTTTTTATACACTGACTAGCTCCTCTGTAATCATTTCCCTCGAAATCCTGGGACAAGTTCCAGCTTTTCTTCGAGTTTTCATTGATGGAATTGATCACACATTTAAAGAACAGAAGGCAAAAACAAAGCCTCCAGCCAAGCAAACAAACCCCCAAATCTGGGGGGAATCTTGTTTCAACACAATGCTTGGTATTTTTTTTCCCCCTGCATGCTGCAATTCACTTAGGAGCCGAGTAATTGCATGAATAGTTTTTAGTTTGCTATTCTCTTGCTCATTTGGTTATGACTCATATACTTGAAAGAACTGCAGTTGTTACCATAATTTCACAGTTATGTGTATCTGGCTTATATCATGCATTTAATTGAAGGGAAAAGACAAAAACTGCTAATGAAAATGGAAATTACTAGCCTCCCAGTTTGTGTGGGAGGAGGTTGTTTTCTTCCCCTCTCTCCATTAGTGATGAAATACCAGTCAAACAACCGAAAACAGGTTTTTGTAATTTCTTCCTGAAAGATGCAATTGCAGATTAGAAGTAATACTTTATTTCTTTAATAATATTTTGTAAAGATTGATAGAAAGGAGGATTGCATCTTGTATTAAATTTTCAATCCCTCTCTGCACACACAGCAGGACAAGGAAAATTTGCAATAGTATTGTATTATTTTTATTGCCAATGAATGATAAGGCTGATGAACATGACTAAATCTAATCTGTTAGTGCCTAATTTTCCAAAACCACCTGACTTTGTAAAATGCTTTGAATTGGCTTTTCTCTCCTCTTAACCAAAGGGTTAATGGGAGAAGTTGATTAGGGGAATGAAAATAAAATTTTCATGGGCTTGAAAAAGGAGTCCCTTTGAACTAGTCCTGTTAAGTTAGTGGTGTCCAGTCAACTGCAGAGATATGGATGTGACCTGTTGTTCAGACTCCAGTGAGCAGCGTGGTAATGAAATAACACCACTGACCTGCCTCGGCCCCCCTGGTTCAGGTTCCTTTAATCAACGCAATTCATTTCTCCCTTGCTTGCTTGCTGTCACTGGAAGCGGATGTAAACTGAACAGGGGTTGTGTGTGGCAGGGGTGGTGTCTCCCCGAGATACTGCAATCTCTTATCAGGAATACTACAGCGTTAGTGAGATGTCAAGCACCCTTCTGAAAGTCTCAATTTCCTGCTTGATAACTGCAGCGATAGAGAAGATGGATCTTGTGAGCAGCTGACCAGAGGTATTGCAACAAGATAAAACCAAATCATCATCAAGGGCTTAGAAACACATAACTCAGTAACTCTTTCTTTGTACTTCCAGGAAAAGAAACATTTTCTGGCTGTTTAAAAATGTATGCTTCAAAAGTATGTATCAAACATGTTTAAGAAACCATGGTTGAATAAAAAATCCCAAACCTTACAGAGATATAAGTTCTATGCAGCAATGCAGCAGAGTCTCCAGTCAGATAATAAACAAATTTATGGAGGAGACTGAGTTATTTTTATAGCCTTAATTAATCAAATCAAATCATATTAACCTATGTAGCGCTACTACTCACTCTTCCTTTTTTTCTTCCCTTTCTTACTGAGAAACACCTTTTTCTTGATAGGAGACTTGAGTTTGTTTGTCTTCATTTTTGTTTTTCTACAATCCAGGAAAAAGCCTAAACATTGATGATTACATTTCCTTATTTCAGTGACTGAAATGTCCTTGTCTGACCTTAGTTTAGAAATCCGGATAGTGGGGAAAATATTAGATACGTCTATTAAAAAAATAAAGAAATAGATGTCACATCTATATTGTTTTAGTCCCATTGAAGATATCCTTTTCTCCATAAAACCCAGGGGCTTTTAAAACGCTTCTTAGTCAGATTAAAAACATCTCTAATATAAAAGCACCCTACAAAAATCTTCCTATCAGTAAGTTAGCTTTTTAATCACAAAGAGTAATTATTTAAAAAGAAAAAAAAAGTTAAGTGCTTTCAAAGCAAAGTGCAAAAAGCATATCTATCTCTCTGCAATTAGAAGAAAATAAGAAAAGAACAAACACTCCAAACGGAGAGTGAAGCTGCACTGTAGTTCCTACATAGGACATGCTGGAGGTACAACGCTGCCGCCTCGGCCACCCGAGCGCCATTCCCCGTCTACTTTGTTCTTCGGCAGCGGAGAGAAGGATAAACCATAGTAACCTTCCACCTTCTGTGGGGGAATTCAAGTGTGGCAGTTGTGCTAAGGCCCCGATTCCCGGCTGCGATCAACTGGAAAATCACATTATTTATCTGAGATAACTATCGGTAGTCTGCATTGGACCAGACTTTGAAACAGTCCCTCTTATCTGAGTGCAGCTGTCACCAAAAGAAACAACCTTGAGGGAAGCAGCAAATTAGAAGTTCTTTGTATATAAGGAAAGCGCAAGTAAACTCTATTTCACAGAGAGAGAAAGAGAGCTTTAAAACAACCTAATAAAAATTCCTCCGTGTTTACTGTTGGCCACGACACACAGGAAAACATCATGAACTCGGCAGAGTTCAGGTCCTGGACTTGTGATAAGCGGCCATGAAATTTCTCCTTGTAGGACACAGGGCAGGCTCTTGTTACTGAAAAGACGACTATGTTTTTTGGTTAAGAGACTGCACATACAGCTCTTTTTCTGAGGTCTGTGATTGAGCTCCGGGTAGAGGCTCTGTGTCACCCAAGCAATGCCAAGCTGGGACAGGATGACACCTCCCGGTGCGGCAAGGAGGGCACGTCTGCGAGGGATGCTGACGCTGCTAGCAGCCTGGCAAGATAAGCAGGCTCATTCTCAGCACAGGTGGCACGAGGCTTTTTTGTAACTTATTTTCTTCTGTTCCAGGAAACATCTGCAAGGAACCCTTACCTCATATTTTCCTTTCTTCTCCAAGGGCTCAGATTCAGTCTCTGCAGGCACCACAACTTTGTCCCCTAGAAGCTCCTCTAAGATGAAGACGGTTTCCCAGTTGCTATAGTGACGAGCTGGGAAAATATCTGAGTGCATGCTGTCACCAAAATAAACAACCTATGAGGGAAGCAGCAAATTAAAAGTTCTTTGTATATGAAGAAAACACAAGCAAACTGTATTTCACAGAGAGAGAAAAAGAGCTTTAAAACAACCTAACAAAAATTCCTCTGTGTTTGCAGTTGGCCGTGACACACACACATCTTATTAACGTCACAGTTTGGGGTTTTATCTTCAACCAGCTCCGAAAGTAAAAGGCTGGCCCTGCACACCCTCCTCGCTCTCACCCTCCAGGGGCAGTGGATGGGGATGCCCGGCTGGGACCGGCACAGGGGACACCGCTGAGATTTCTGACTGACAGAAAGAGCCTGCCAGGAAGCAGTAGAAAAGACTACCAAGAAAATACACTAAACAACGGGAATGACAACTTTGGAAACAAGGGAGAGCATGGAGCATCTCTCGGTGACTCAGAACTCTTCTGTGTCCATTTACCCACTAGGGAAAATGTGGTCCCACCATTTTCAGTGGCATTTTCACCCATCCAGACCTGTAACTAAAATAACACAATCCTAGTTTTCACTGATGCCACCTTTTAATCTATTTATTTGATCTGTTTCCTCAGGGGGATTGTTTATTTCCTGATTTCAATCTGATTCTCCCCAAAGCTGCCGAAATGCATGACTACACACAGAGAACAAAACATCTAGAAAGTTTATATACTCTACTGATAAGAAGACCAATATGCTGCTTCCAGTTCTGGACTGCAGTCTGCTATACAACAGCAAGCATAACCAGAACAAAAATTTGTGACCGATTACATCAATAACTTTAATGAAAGCTTGTCTGGTGAATTTTAGACTGAAACAGGGTATTTTCAGAAAGATTTACTCTCACTTAGAACATACCTTGGGATCCAACTTGCCAGTCATCTTCTTCAGTAGTTCATAAAGCTGGATAGCATTACCTTGGGAATACCAGCCGGGCTTGTCCAGTGATAGCAGAGCCTCCTGCTCCTCGTCATTCTCTGAAATCACCGAGCAAAATCGCTCACTGTTAGTGAGAGCAGCCTATGCTCCTGTACTCGTGAGACACGTGAGAAGCTGCCTGTGCACAGCTTGGAGATCATGGTCTATTTTGACAATAAGCCAGCTCCAGTGTCTGGCTCAAGTCCTGGTAGTGACTGTGGGTTCAGTCAAGGTGTTTGGTAGCTGGGGGTTGGCAGACATTTGTGAGAAAAGAAGCAGCCAAGCCTCGTCTGCAAGGGCTGCAGAAGAGCTGAGGAGTCAAAGTCATAGGCTTTGCCTCCCAAACACTGCAGCAATGAAGGCAGGAAAGCACACTGACCAGACTGATGGAGGAGCTGCTACAGATCTAAGGTGAAACCATGAGATAAGACAGACTGTCAGAGACAGCAGCATGTACCTTTCCCCACAGACAAATTACCTACTGCTTTTAAACACTGACATAAATACAACAAAACAGACTGAGGTGGCTCTTACGGGCATTCGCTAGCCTTATATCAGCACAAACAACGAGCAGCTCCAGTTATCATCCAGTTTTGAAGAAATGACAAGCAGACAATATTGCTGCTGGTGGTATAATCCACATTGGCATATATCCACACTGGCAGCTCTCAGTGAATCGGAAAAATCAGTGGAAGCTGAAACTCCCCAGTCATCACCCAACTGTGCCATAGGCTTTGTTTCTAGCTGGTCCCAAAGCAGCTGGATCTGTCCTGGTGTCCATGTAACCTTATTGCTCATTCAGATCCATGTGCTATTGCCAGATGAATTCCTTTTAGCTTCTCGCTGGAGCCAAAATGCTAGCCTTAGTGAACCGATAAACTAGAATTTCATGATAAATATTAATATTAATGTCCTCTGTCTACTGAAGTGGTTAAAAAAAAGAGCTATTTTGTTATTCAGTCTCAATCAAACATACCTTATCTTTTATGCTAGAGACAGAGGGTTAGAAGCCAATACAGTGCTTTGATCTGACTTAGGTGTAACATCAGGACTTCAGTCTTTCTCCTGCTTTATAGAATTTTTCGAAGTACTTAAAATTGTTAGGAAGAAGTCTAAGATAGAGCAAACTTGATTTGGTTAGAGACTGCTCTAAGCTGGAATGCAAATTTTGGAGAACAGTGAAATGACAAGACAGCTTTATGTTTAAGAGCACTGAAGATGTACATGGTGCAGTACATTGGTCCTTGAAAGAAATAAAAAAAGAAGCAAAAAGACGGAAATAGGTATGTGGAGAGAGGCAGTACATCATTCTTTAATATTATGAATCTAAGAATTCGAATAAACACAGGATTTATTCTCAGACAAAATGATTCTATATTAAGGGTGTTTTATAAACTAGGAAAAAACAAGGAAATTTGAAGTTGACACTAACAATTCACGTAGAACTTGCGTGGGAATGTCTTTTCCTTTGTTCTTCTTCAGAAACCTAACGATAGTAATAATACTAAGTATGATAGCATCCGTAAAAAAAATCTTCATTTCCTGACTTTTAAAATACTTTTGACGGAACAACTTTTGATCAAACAGAAGTTGTCAAACTTCAGCAAATTTCTTTTATTTTCCCTGTATTTTTAGACGTATTTGTAAGGCTGGCTGAACAAGTAGACACAATCTTCAAATGATATGGACATAGAAAAATAAACTTATGAAAACAACTCTTTTGAGCTGTTATCAAAAGTTTCTTGAAATTTGTGAAGGTTTGTATAGCTATCATTGTCTCTCCATTCAGTCACTCAGGAAAATACTAGAGAAAAATGAAGCTATTCTGAGAGTGATTTTTGGAATAACAACATTACATTTGCGAATAGGAGCCCTATGTATTACAGCAGCACCAGAAGGCTCCAGCAAAGAGCAAGACCCTGCTTTGCTACCTCTATGGGAAGGCATGAGGGGCAGTCCTGACTGAAAAAATTCACTCTAATTACAAGGTAGAAGATCTCTCACTCTGTGAGATCTATTACTGTCACCCCTAGCAATGGGATTCATCTCAGTTAACTCGATGCATCCGGAATTTAGGCTTCTAATTTACAGTTACAATCTGAACTCGTTGGCCAGGATCCCTCGGTAGGCAAAAGAGAGGGCAAGAAGCACTTTCTAGAGGTGCCAGCTCTGGAGAAGGAAAGAATTTAATTAAGTTAGGAACTTCGCTTTTAGGCAGTGAAATGAAGGGAAATTTTGAAGCCTGGTTTCCTCCTCTACGCTTGGAGGCAGCAAACAGCATTGAGATGTCTAATCCATTATGGGAACACCTTGATTTTGGAATGAGCTTCAGAAATTTGAGGAATTAGGAAAGGTCATTTATAACATTGAGTTTTAGGGTTATAGGGATAATGACTCTGAACGGGCAAACCTTGCCTCGAACCATCTCATATGGCTGCTTGTGCTCACACATCTAAGGGTGACTGTGTCAATCTTATTTCTGAAATCTGAAGTGGGAGGAAATTAATGGTGTTTCAGTTGCAGTAAGTCATTAACGAGAATGGTTTCTAATCCACTTACACTTTCCCTGTGGCAAAATATAGTCGAGAAAATTATTCTTCAGCACTGGTTCTTAAGGTCTCTTGTAGTAGTTCTGCCACGTAAAAACTGACAGGCAACAACTTAAAAACCCATTAATGACACCATTGGCTCTGGCCTTGTATTGTATCCTTCAGATAGCAGCTACATGACAGTGCTGAAAAAATCTGCAAATTTCCTGCAAAAATGCTGCATAAATGTGATTATGGTAGTTCCTAATATATTTTAGATATTCCAAGCCTAACATTGGCTACACTCAGACAAGAGGAAAACTGCTGCTGACCCTCCTTCCACTTTGCTGTTATTGATTCGTAAAAGTTCATTCAAAGGTCAGAAATGCTATAAATATTCCTGCATCAGGAAGCAACACATATATAGGCGGGGATGCTAATGCTTCAGGTCTTACAAGCTGGGAGGAAAAGGAGACATCCTGACAATTTCAAACAGACTGGATAACCAAAAAGAATTTCTCAGATGATTTAGATAGAGCGACTTGCTTCCTTCTGAAGTCTAATATTTCACTGCAACCTGGCTGTAGACTGAAAACGTGCCACGACAAGAAACCTAAAGGTCGCAAGCAAGTAAAATTAAAATAATTAAACCCAGAAAATCATTCTATTAAAACACTCACCCAAACTTCAGCAGTGATTCAGAGCTGTTTTCCTGAGGGGAAGTTACTGTTCCTTTTTAAAAACAACAACAAAAGCTTGACTCATGCTGGGGCAATATTAATATTGCTGGAATGGCGATTTGCATATTGCTGTGTCTAACAGCTTGGGAAATGTTTTCTGATTCAGAGATGTACTCCCATCACCATTAGCAGATATGTTTTTTCAGATAAACCAATTCACTAACAAGACTCAATATCCTTTTTCTTGTGAGAATTTTCTTGCCCGCCTTTAAATGTGCGGTGCAGGTTTATAACATGGGCTGAGGAACATCTGGTTTCACTCTGAATGAATATGCAAAAAGTAATCAGTGAAGCTTATTCCCATTTAAATGACAACCGATGGTAATTTACTTTGGCAGAGAGTCGCTCTTGGGAAAGACTCTGCGCACGCTTGCTTACTGCCGTCTGCTTTGCTATCCATTTATGGGTTATACCTGCTGAGATGGAAACCTAAACACAGGCAGTGCTGAGGTTGTGTCCACACTGCATGTTCAGCCCAGGGTCTGAACCTGGAGCTCTATCCCTAACCAGGCTGGCGTTTACACTGTTAAACCCCAGCCCATGGGACAGGGCTCGTGTTTGGGAAGCCTGAGGTTAAGAGAGAAGCTAAGAGGTGAGGGCGAATTTACGCTTTGACAGTTATTCACCTATACTCAGCCACACCTACACCGAGGCTAATCTTCATCAGCTCACCACCCCTGAGGCCACCACCCTGCGCTGCTCCTCCAGTTGAGTGCCCTACGGCGAGTGCTGGTTTCGTGGACCCACCAGTGACTCGCCTGAGAGCCAGAGGACATTTCGCACCTACTTGACAGGGCAGAGACAGGGGTAAGAAAGCAACTCCAAGTGCCTGGAAGCCATGCTGGCCGAAGATGTGCTAGGTTTAACTGCAGTGTGTGTAGAGCTCCCCAGCAGCCCCTTCTTCTGCCTTCCTATCTTTCTCCTGACAGCCTTTTACTCATTTCCATACAGTACTAGTTAGACTGGCTATTAGGGTTACTGATATTTTTTGTTCCTTTGAACTGTACAATAGAATAAAAACATGCGGTGACTATCGCTGCTCGTGCGTGTACCTGCTCCTGCCTCCTCCTACCCACGGGCAGCTCTTGCGGACTCTCGCCGCAGGCAGGCGCTGAGCACAGACGGGTGTATGTGTTTATTAGCACACTGAAGCCCTGGTTACCGCCTCAGGGGGGTACTGTAAAACAAGTACGTTTTATGATCCACAGCTATCATACTGATATGCCTCTCTGCAATTTAAAATAATGTCATTTCAGGCCCTGAGGACATTAATGTAAAAGCCGGGTTATGCTCCAGCCCAGCTTGCAAGCACAGTCTGATTCTAGATGACATTTTGAGCTCACTTAAGAAACACAAACTCTCTTTTCCAGAAGGGGACTCGGGGCAGGAAAGCACGTCGTTTTACAGTCGAGACAAAGGGACCTGCATAAGTAAAATCCTTCTGGTGCCTTCTTCCAGCTGTAAAGGTAATGAGACAGGATGACATAAGCTGTAGAGTTCCCCGGAGGGCATGCTCTCCATGAAGAAAGCAAGTACTTACAAGCTTGCTGGGGGTAAAACTTCATACCCTATGGGCACCCTTCTGTAGGGCAGCACCCCAAATTCCTATGTATAGATCAGCCACCTTTGCTGGGTGGTTTCCAGGATTCATGCAGATATTACTGTGTGTTTTACCATCCCTGAATTATTTCTGCGCCCTGGAAGCAGCTGTGAAATCCATCTGCCCGACACGTGCACCAGCGTTTGCCAGTCTCCTGTTTGGACGACTGCAGGGGAGTGATAAGGAACAAA